TCGTGGTGAAATCGGATTAGCTTTCTCTGCACTTTGGATTGCGTTCTATTTAATGTTTTAGTAGTTTAAAATATAGCTACTGATTATATTCGTGATATTGCAATATTGTGCGAATATCTTTGAGCAAAAATCTAGTGTTTTGTTATATTTTTTGTGATAAGAATAATTTTTTTAAACTTTTTATCAGACATGTGCATTCAATCTATTACGAATCCGCACGCACTCAACTATACTGTATCTCCAGTCAGTTCGCCCAATTTCCTCTACATTCTTTTATTGCTTAATTTATATTATTGCCCAAATGTTTTCGTATTTTCCTATTACATTCCTATTTACTATTATTTTTTTCATAAGGTTTGTTTCACCACTTCACTGTAGTCTGTTAGCTCGGCAGCTTCAAGTGTGTATTTTGGTATTTTTAATCTACCGCGCTGACAGTGGTGCTAAGTTACTTCATAAGTAATACTGACTATCTGTAACTCGCTATTTGCGAAGACCTTCGGGTCTGCGTCGTGTAATTCATCACCAAATCACAGTTACTCCTAATCTTGAGAAGCAAGTCAGAAAGGTAATTAGACTATGAAATAAAACTGTTCAACGAAATCATTTTGAAAGTAAAGTACCTCAGAATCGTCTTGAACCATAAACTGACTTGGATTGACCACATTGCTCAAAGGCACTTCTATGTCTTTATCATCGGACTGTTTTACTAATACTTACCATGCATGCGCAAATATTACACCGAAAATTGTAAACACACTTCAGATTCTAACAAACCATTTGCTTAGGATCCTGAACAATGTCCACTAGTAGTACGTACTGAAATATTACACAGAGATTTTAAAAATCCTTCGTCTTTATGAGATCACTCAAACTCTGAATGAAAATTTCTTACAAAAAAACTGAGTCAACTATTCGTCAATTTTCCAGTAAGAAATACTGTGTATGTGTAACTACAAATTCCTCATACTCTTTTCAGGTCACCTACTTAGATGAAAAAATCTTCTCCATTTCGAAAAGTTGCCTGATTTGGATTCTGAATAGCCATGAAAAACAAATGCTCTTGTATATATATTTAGGTTTTTGTGTTATTTTTAAGTCTTATCCTCATCTATTTAATATAAAGATTGCATTTGACTACCGAACTCTGTAGGATTCGTGAAGAAACCTTATTGGTAAACATAGACCACATGTAAGTGATTATTTGCAAGCTTGACTTGTCGAAGTCATTATTATCACTGTCTAGACCTATAACCTTAAAAGGATCTAGATCGATCAATGTATAAGCTTTGTCTAGAAAATTTCTTTTTGGTTCATTAGAGGAATAGTAAGTGCTACCTGTTGATAACATGAGGTGACTTCACCTCCGATTTCTCGTCTAAAGAGCTGCATCTATCCATCGAAGCAACACTCACATATCAGCTGAACAGGATGTAGACCATTTCTCTCTTGGGACCTCGATTTAAGTGAAAAACCATCGATAATTCAGCGATACGTATAATATCGGTATCGATATCGAGCGGGAGTATATTCTTCGTTGCTAATGATGAGTCTCCGAGAATGCAGCTGATACATCGACGTGGCAATCAGAAGGGAAAATAACTCTCTCCTTAGTCACGATCCCTAAGAACCCGACTTCATATAAGATTTATAATTTAAGATACTTCATCTACTTAATAATCGTCATACAATAATCGTCATGCAAGACTTTGCAGGTCTAATCACTTTCCGAAATCCATCTGTGGTTATCCAGGGCAAGACAGAATTAGTAAAGAATCAAACCTGCAATAATGAAGGATAAACCAAATAGCCTAAAAATGCCTTTGATGTTGTTTAATTGGGAAGCGATAAACCTTACTATCAAAGATGGAAAGTTACAGAAAATTTGATGTTGTACTAATCAGTGAAACTCATGCAATCCCTAGATTGGAGAAACGGGGTTCCTCTACAAACCTCTCGATTTCAGTCTGCAGGGAGCGAAACAATCTTACCATCCTAGGCTGCTGGTCGAAACTCACAAACTGCGATTGTTGCACATCCAACAGAAATGGAAATATTCTGCATAGTATCATTTTTAATATCCCTCAGATCAGAGCACTTTCAGACCCGTTCTTCACAGAAAACCTTTCTTCACTACTACATATGCACTCCTCTGTATGGAAGTGTTCACTACCCATTCCTCAGATCACATGCCGGTGATTGCTTAACAAGACAGAAAGCGTAAAGGCAATGAAAATTGCTGACTAGATCTGCCTTCCATAAGGAAATTGAAAACATCTTCCTCTTTTACGATTTTCCCTCTTATCTCCTTTTTCCTTTTTTTCTTTCCTCTTTTATTTTTTAATTTCCTTCACACCCTTTTCGTCTGAAAAGACAATGTAATACCCTTTCCGTATCGTGTCGTTGTTCGTCTCACCACTGTATGCGCAACTGTCTCTGCTTCAGGTTCAAGGAAAGCCGCAGCAAGGGTCGCCGTGCTGACACTCGGTGGTGCTTGAGAACGTTGTCGCGTTGACACTTGTCGTCCCGCACACGAGCCAAGTTCCTGATTCAGGATGCACGTCGAGGCTGTACGACACCGTAAGGCCGAAAGGACAATATGTCTGTACTCTAGGACATTAGTGGCCTAGAGCTACTGAGAAGCTTTATGGCATACATTATGACCCACCTAGAATTTTCTTTCCATATTTCCCTAACAGACATGGGATCCCGACCAACAGATCGGGGAAAATCCGAAGTTCAATTGACCATGATCCTGCCACGGTTCAATTACGACGTGTGCTGGTTAGAGTTCTCCTTCTTACACAAGTGATAACAAGACCTTTACACAAAACATGTACTTTCAAATGCTGGTTTTAATGAGAAATCTGGATACGAGAACCGATTATGGAGTGGTTTATGTGGACCCAGAAGGATTTTTAATAAGCTAGATAAGAAAACTAAGCCTATGAGGGCATATGACGAGTTAGCAGGTGGAACTCCAAGAACGGTCAAGAAAGTGAGCTAAAAGAGGGCAGATCATTGTCTCCAGTACTGCATGTACGCCAATCACTGCTTTGTGCGCATTCCCCGGAATGGTAAACATACTTCAGGATAGAGTATCTTTCATGCAAATTAACGCTTCTTGTGTACTGCCTTCATCCAGTAGTAATTTTAATGGCCAGCAACGCACATTGAAGAAAGTGCATCAAATAATTAAAAACTTCTTCGGTAATATTGTCACAAAAATCTGACGCATATGCAACGATTGCCTCAATTTAAATTATTTCTTTGTTGGTGTGAAAAAATACCACGGTCATTCTCATCTCTAAACTTGCCAAGGGCACTTTTAAAACCAAAAACTTCGAACCCATTATCCCGTTTCACTTCTCCTAGAAAAAATATTTAAAAGAATTGTTCTAAATTCACAAAAAACTGTTCTCACTGCATTAGCCAATCAGCATTTTAGATTAAAAAAAATCCGCACTATTTATTCATGTTCAATAGACAAGTATTATTGTAAAAACGGAAATTTAATAAAACAAAGAAAAGAAAACACAAGCTTCTGATTTTTATATTACAAATATCTATATTAAATATCTGTGTAAATTTGTAATTCAACATAAGTTTCAGATTAGAAAATGCTTAAATATTTCCTTCTGTCAACATATAAATGTATAATATTTGTTGATGTTCCATGAAGAGCTAATATGAATGTCACAAATCATTGAATTTAAATGGAATTAAGGAATAGATATTATGAACTACTGTATTTGCATACTATCGTTTTTCAAAGTAGACAGTTTCACCTAGTAAGTTCTGAAAGGTTATATTTGTCTTAATTTGAAGTATTTCAATGAGAATATTTAATTAAAATTATATAAGTAGGAAATTCCTTGGTGTTTATGGAGTTAATTTAAGGTATTATAATCCAATTAAAAAAATTTTTAGACTGCTATATATAAAAAGATAAAAAAGATATAATATAAAAAGATAAAAAGATAAAATACACTAACTTTGAGGGTAAATATCAACGTACGCAGGTTTAGAAATGTGTCACTAGGCATATTTTGCATAAAATATCATTGAAACGTCTCCTAGGTTTCACCATGTATACATTTGTCTTATAATTACCATTCACACATTTTCATGTACTTGGATTGCAAAAGTTGGAATAGTTATTTGCATTCCGTTTGATTTTGCTATATACCAAGTAGAACTTTTTTTATTCATTTATGTTAAGCAATAAAATTAGAACGCATGTTGTAGATAACACCGCTTAGGAGGTAAACAAAACCAGCCTGAAGCCTATATATGGCAGCGGCCATGATAAATCGTGATGTTTCATAGCTCCAATTTCATTACATACGGGATAGGCTTACTTCATTTATTCCAACCTCCTTGGTATTTTGTTACCCTGCATTTTAAATTCGCATATTTTGGTCAACTTATTTGCATGTCTTTATACATCGTTCTCTACTACTGTAAGTTTGAACTTAAGGTACGTGTGCCAGTGGGGTACGTAGTTAAATATTTGAGATAAACTGTAGGAACCGAAAAATCATATCTCTAATTTAGAAATACAAATTCATGAAACTATACGAATATTCATACTTACATTCTTACTTTTAATTTCATTTCACACAAGAGCTAAGGGTACAAGAAACGTATAAAGTGAGACTCATTACTCTAACGTGATTTAATTTTAATTTTTTAAAACTGTTGTTAAAATTAAGAGCTTTACGACTAATTAGTAATACAAATTAAAATTACTTTATGTTTAGATTTTAGTATTTCTGCATTTAAACTGCTTTTCAAAAATCTAACTATTTAGCTTTTTCATACACCAAAAATTAAAGATTCCTTAAATTGTCTGCTTGCTTGAATCATTTTGTATATCTTCTAAATGCATAAGTGAATGAAGTATTCTTATGTGTTATTATCATGAAAACTAATTTTTATTAATATTCTTTGCTCCACGTTATTTCACTTCCAGCATTAACTTGACGGTTACAAAGTCCAACATTTATAGTCCAACATTTTTATTTAAAACAAAAGAATTTAATAATTACATACTGATATATGTTTCTATAATAAAAATATTACAAAGTAAATGCGCGTTGCATATATTGCAATAAATTCTTAATACCACAAATACAGTACAAATTGCAATAAATACTTATTGCGTTTCCAAAAGTTCTAAATATCAACTCAATGGAGACGTTTTAAGATAGAGTACTTTGTACGCAAGCTCTTCAAAATCATGCATCTACTATAAAATCCCTTAACACAAAAAACTAATTACAATTAATCACATGATGGATCCCATTCGAGATCTACAGTCTCAGTTTTTGGTGTCACTTTTGCATAAGAGAATTGCTTCTTGGCTCGTATGTAGAGTCCTACTCGTGTTCTAGAGCAGACAATAGCAGAAGCTCCCAAAACGAATATTCCAATAGCCACCATGGAGGAAATCACCAAGATAAATGTAACCCATGCCCAACGGTCTTCACACTTCAGTTCGGATGCCAGGATGGTGTCTAAAGAGCGACCGCGAAGATGAGGTGGACTGTCGCAACTATAGGCACGAGATAAAAATATTTAATGAGGAAACTAATACTTACTGCAAAATGAGCAAAATATATAAATGAAATAATAAAATACTTAAGATCCAATGGGCGAATAAGGATTTTAAATGTACATACAGGATGTGATTCAAAAGTTTTAAGACTTACCTCAGAACTAGAAATTTATTGGACATTTAAGTACAGCGAACTAAAATTCTTCAAAATATGATCCTTCAGCATCAACTCAGCGCTGAAAGGGCGTCTTCCACTGTTCCTAGCCCTTCTGGAAGGCCTCGGGCGTCATGCTGTCAAGGGATCTCATCGAAGCCTGCTGGATGGCGTCGATGGAGTCGAATCGCTTCTCTTTTAGGCCTGTCTTGATACGATGGAAGAGGAAAAAGTCACTTGGAACCAAGTCGGGGCTGTAGGGTGGTTGCGGCAGTATTGTCACGCTGTACTAAAAGGGAAGCGATTCGACTGCATCGACGCCATTCAGCAGGCTTCGACGAGAGCCCTTGACAGCATGACGCCCGAGGCCTTCCGGAAGGGCTACGAACAGTGGAAGACGCGCTGGCAGCACTGTGTTGATGCTGAAGGATCATATTTTGAAGAATTTTAGTTCTCTGTACTTAAATGTTCAATAAATTTCTAGTTCTGAGGTAAGTCTTGAAACTTTTGAATGACACCCTGTATATGATCTTAAAATCTTTTTGTCAGGAGAAAGTTTCATACTAATTTTTTAATATCGGTATCCGTATCGGTAACGTTATACCCAACATTGCGAATTTTGCAATGTGTCGGCTCAGTAAAAATGTTGCCCTGAAGGCACTTCACGTAAAAATTCATCACGTGAGATTCCTAGAAGAGAAAGTTTAACAAATGAGGAAATGTGGAGGAAATGTTTTTCTAGTTTGAGAGATCAAAGTAGAGTCCTAGTAGAAAAATCTTTTAATAATGATGAACTCGCAAACGTTTTATGTTTCTAATTACGAAATTTTTGGTTGATACCTGCTGGTTGTACTTTTCAAATTTATATAAGAACTTGCATAGTTCCTTTTGAAAATAACCATTAATGTTAATAAGGAAACATGTTTGGATGTCCATACCTTTGACAGACAAAACTTACCAAGAATACCTACGAAGAATAATGAACGGAAGCTCCGGAAAGTATTAGTGAAACCTAAACCTACGAGAAAGGTACAGTTAAGACTGCTGTATTTCTGATTGTTAACATAGGGCAAGAGTAGAGATGAAACTCTAGATAATCTCAGACACTATTTCAACGAACGTTGTTACTCCGTGGATTGTTAATTATGTGTTCTACAGAAATCGAAAACTCTATTCCCAGAACTTAAAAAAATATTTAATTGTATCATATATTATTCTAACTATTACGTGGAACTTATTCAGAATAAAGGTGGGGGTGACCCTGCTGGCGAAGTCAGGGAATCTTCCTCGGCGGGCAAGTTAAAGGCTAGCTGCCCAGTATTTTACTTGGCTTAATCAGTTTGGTTCTTTGATTGTTTTTTAGCTTTATCGGTTTTCCAGAATTGGCGGTAGGGTTTGCAAGTTAAGTTAAGGTTTGGGTTTATACACAATAACTTCCGTACACCTGCTATAAACGCAGTAACAAAGAAATATGTGTTAAGATTGAATGCACAGCAGCAGGTAAAGGTATTTGTTATCTCTAGCCTTTCTGCAGACGACTGTTTTAAATCAGCAATCAACAGAAAGCAGAAAATAGACATGCTAGATATGTTATCAACATTGAAGGCTTTATCGCAGTCTTGCAAATGAATAATCCAGTGGGAAATTTTATACTAAGAAACAAATCACATACTTTACTTATTTAATTGCATAAAACAGTTAAAATAGCTTAAAAATTTTTAGTAAGTAATCATTAACTTACACAATAGCTTCTTCAGTTTCAGCCTTCAGCTTTTTCATCCACAGAATATGACAATCACATTTCCAAGGATTTTCAGATAAATCCACGTAACTCAAAGATGACAAGGATTCCCTTTCGAATGGTGATTGCAGAGTTCTAAGGAAAAAACAGAAATATATATTTTAGAATTACTTCATCAAATGTCCCCAGATGATTCACTTGATCACTAATTCACTACTTTTGATCAAAATTTCACCTTTGTGCTTTTTTAACAGGGAACTATGTCGCCTAGGTAGTATAGTGATTAGGAGTAGAATTCCGGAAGAGGCACCAATTGTTTTCCCCAATGGCGGTCACAAGTCATTACATAGGCTTTGGCCACTATTAACGCCAGAAGCGATGGTCAGTTTATTATGGAAGCACCTAATAAGAGGACTTTCTTTTCCCCTATAAAGGAATGGACAGTTACAACCACGCCTTTTCCGGGATTCTGGGTATTTCTGGGATTTCCTTCTCTGGGCCCTTTGGTATCGCAATCAACTCCCCTAACCACTATACCATCTGGATGTTTGTAAATGTACAGTGTCTTTGTGGCATGGAGGCACTCTAACCATATGGCGAAGTCCTCTCGTGTGGTTTGATGGTAGAGGAGAGGGATGGAAGATCCTTGGATCCCCCGGGGTGATTTTCCTCAAAATTGGGGTGGAAGTAGAAGTCCAACATTCTTGAGGTTCTGGTAATTATTCTACCCTGTATTACATGGACAAAACAACAGCAACAACTGGGAACTATATTTTGTAGACAACAGAAGGATATATTTAAATAAAACGCTGCAGATCCAATAATAAAAATGAATTTCTTTCAAAATATTGCACTCAAAATTATAATCATGAAATTTTACGATGAAGGTTTAATTTTTCACAATATTTATAATAGTATAGTATTCTTTAGAACAAGTATAGATAGGCGCCACATGCAATCATTCCTTTTCGATATACTACATTTACATTTAATATTCGTGCCCAACAGTTTAGCGTTGCATTTCTTTTATGAAATAGTAACACCCCTTCAGACATTTTATTGTAATTTCGGTGAAGTAAAATTTAAGAAAGAAATATAATCATGTCTTCCTGTCATCGCATCAATATCGATGTAATCATATTTCTTATGTGTTTTTTTAAATCTTATTTCCTTTTTGAAACGCTATTTTATAATCTGAAATCTACGAGATTATTATGTAAAATTAATTTTTATATCTTGTGTGAAAACAATTTTTGAGTACATAATCGACCTCACCGACTCAGGTAAAATATCGTCTTCCGTCGCTTACAGATCAATAATTAAATAAATCGACAGCAACACATTTTAAAAACCGAGAAAAATGTATTTTTCATAAAGTGTACTAATCATCATTCATTAATATTATTGAAATCTGTGTGCGTCTATCTGCCTGTTTGTTTGTAACATCATCTCTTACGGAACAGCAGGTAGTTGAGTTTCGATAGATGCACTCCAGGATTCCAAAGATTTGTAGGAAGTCGTTTCGACCATTCTTATCTTTGTACGAATTTAATTAGCTGAGATATTAATTAAAAACAGAGATATTAATTAAAAATAATAAACATAATTAATTCATTAATTCACTTTATAAAGTTTTACTGGCAATTTTTCATTAAAAATATAGTCTAGGAAAGATTAGAAGAAGGAAATTGAGTAAAAGCGTGTGGTTACCTCTATTAAAATTATTTAATTAATTATCAAATTGTAAGATTCAGTTAACTTCTACAAGTAGTATTAATTTTCTACCCATTTTCAGTTTTTGAATGCTTATGTTCCTTCTTAAATTTTTTAGGAAAACATTATTAGTTCATTCAAAATATAAAAATAAAAATATTCTTCATTCCTTCTTGCATTCGCAAATCATTATGCGAATATGCATTTATAACTTTTAAACACTGAAAAACGCATGCTTGTGATGTTATCGTCATGCTGTGATGTCTAGATGCTTTATTCTTTACCACGATATTTTGGATAACGATGTTTTTAAAATCCAAAGTTTTTGAACAGCCTTATATTCGACGGCGATGTTTTGTACTACGATGTTTTAGAACTGCCATGCTTTCTCCTTGCTTTCTTTCCTCCCATGATGTGATGTTTTGTACGACGACGTTTTCTCCTTGCTTTTTTTTTCCTTCGCGACGATTTCGCCTGTAATCATGTTAATTTACGTCAGTTTAATTCAATCCAGATGACGATTATTTACGTTATTGGAACTTAATCAAGATACTAGCTTGATTTCCTTTCAGTCAACTCAAGAGAAATATACTGCATTTGCAAACTTTGCTTGGAAATTTGATAGCCATAACAAAAATGCTGATAGGTAGTGGTATTATGTGTGATTCTGACTCCGGACACCAATATAATGTTGAACCTTCATCTCCTCATAGTACAACGGTCGTTTACCAACTAAGTGCTGCGAGCACATCAAAAGTAAATGAGGGAAGAAAATTAAAACATGCTTTGCAAATTAAAGCATATTTACTGGTAAAATATGAAACTACAGGGTATAATACATTAATAACTATTACCAGGAACTCATAGAATCCTGGAAAGCTTACATATTACCTCCCAATGCAAAAACTAGAAGCATAACAACTCATTCTTCTGAGTTCACACAGGACGGCTCTGTCTGACTACTGATCACTGCATTGCTCTCGAGTTCACATGCGTCTTAATTATACATTCCATTTTAATTTTCTAGAAGAGAAATCACACAAACGCAGAAATTATATGCTTGGTTTCTTCACACGATCACGGTGATCGAAGATTGACACGGGCAACTAGGATTCATTTGGAACGGTAAAAACGGTAGGATCGTTTATGAGGACAAAATCTGCAATACTATTTTCTGTGATCAGATGGATTAAAACAGAGTTTCTTAAACTATGGTTCGCGACCCCATTTGGGGTCACGGGGCCTGCAGTAGGGGGACGGTAAAAATGTTATCATTTTTGATATTCCTTTAACTATTGTAATAATTTTACCATTATCAAACATTTTTATGTAACGTATCTGATGTTGAAAAATTCTATATTTAAGTTCATGTTAAACATTGATAGAAATTTGATATTAATGTATAGTTTGAAACTTATGTAAAATTTGAATCCTGTAAAGAATATGTTAAAAATAGCCGTCGTAGGGCAATGTAAAGAATTCTATGTGTTAAAAACAAGATCTCAGTGGCCACTTAGATGCAGCTGGTCATAAGGACCATGCATCAGACGCTTGATCTCGGGGCCAGGTATGAGATGACTGTGTAGCCCCCAACTAACAACTCGGGGGGTTTTGTTCTAGACAGTGGCGGACGTGGTGCTAAACCAATTAATCTTAACGGAAGGTAATGGTACCCACGTGTTCCGTTATCTGTTACCTGTAATGTATCTGAAAATAGATAAAGATAAGACTATACAGACAAAGAAAACACGAAATGTTCAAACGCATTCTTTTATAATTGAAATGTTAATAACTTAAAACTGCAAATAATAAAAGTTACAGTACAAGTTAAGAAACTGAAAGTTTCACTCGAGCGTTTGTCGTATTTGAGTAAAAGCTCATTGGGGGCAGGGGTCCCACAAAATTTTCTTAAATATTATGGGGTTCGCACACCAAAAAGTTTAAGAAACCCTGGATTAGAGCAATATCTTTCGGTTCTAGCTATGTTAAAGCTATGTTCTAGCTATGTTAGCTTCTTCATTTGGAAACAGAATTATCTCTCGAATGTCTAGTTCCTAGTCTTCATACAGCCTGTTTATTAAGAGCATATATACGAAACATTCATCAGCGTCAATATTGCTACCGCTTTTGTATTTAATTTGTTATTTTAGTAGAATTTTTAATTAAAATTGTTTTAAGTCCCCGTGCCATGCATCACGAGACGTACTTGAAGAGAAAACTACGCCGAAAAATTAAAAATACAGGAGCGCGCGCGTTTAATAAATAGATACCTCGTAAGTGTACGCTTTTGCTTTCTGGAAAAATCGATAAAATACCAGAATATTCTTGTGCATTTAAAAACCTTACAAAAGTTGGAGGAAAACATCTCAATTCAGTTGTTGTTTGGATGACTTTGTTGTTTACTGTAGAGAATTCACGATGAAAACGGATTAGCTTTCTCTGTTTTGAATTAAAATCTGTTGAAATTTTTGGTAGCATAAAAGATAACTACTGTGAGATATTGCGATATTGTACGAATACTTCTAAGAAAATTTAAGCATTTTGTTTTTGTTTGCTGTGATAAGCATAAATTTTATTCACTTTTTTATCTTACTTTATCTTTATCTGCATTCAATTTATTACGAACAATATCAACGCTTACTGGAGACAAAATCGTTAAAATGAGTATAATGGCGCATTGCTTTTTACCTCAAGTTATTCTGACGAAGACTTAACTGCTCTCGAGGAAGAGTCTTGTAGCTTGAAACAGTTGAATTCAGACTTCCAAATGCTTCCGCATCCAAGTAACTTAGTTTTGGATTGTAGCTGCAGGAGAAATGCTTTAACTTTACAAGACCAGCAAAAGCATCCTTTTCTATTATAGAGAGCCTCTCTAGATTATTCAAATATAAAACGGAAATACTCGATAGTCCTCGGAAAGCTCCCTTTTCTGAAATAAATAAAACATATCATAAATAAATAAATAAAAATAAAATGTTGTCTCTTGTACACTTGTTAGGAAAAATCATCTCTAAAGTGAGAACCTTCGATTCCCGACAATTTTGTTCTTTGTTTCAAGATTCCAAACAATCTTGTCTTATAAATGTGATTTCCGGTAATCCGTCTTATAAATGTGATTTCCGGTACCGATGTATATTTTATACTGTCAAAAACACAGGGAATTTTCAGAAATTTCGCTGAAAGTTCACTGTATTTAACTTACGTACATACACGTAAGTACATACACGTAGTACCGGTGAATTTACGTATATATACGCAATTAGCGAACACATGAATAAGCATATGAATTTTAAAATTCAGCTGCTGCTAATTACGTCAACAAATTTCCTATTATGTTTATTGGGAGATAAACTAATTTAGTTCTTGTGAAAGCTTAAGGAATGTATTCATTTCAAATTCAATTTTAGGGTCAGTTTGAAGACAAGAGAAATATGATTAAATTATGATATTTAACTAAAACATTAATAATTAGATTAATTGCTAAACGGAAGAATAATTGTCAAGATTTACTAAGTTGTAAATTAAATGTGACTTGAAGAAAGGCCAAAGAATTATTAAATATCATTTGGCACCTTTACAAAAAATGTCTAGTTCAGAGAATTATTAAATATCATTTTGCACATTTAGGAAAAAATTGTGTAATTCAAAGAATTATTATATATGATTGATTTGGCACACGAAAAAATGTCTAGTTCAACAAAATATTAAATATCATTTGGCACCTTTAAGGAAAAAATTCTCTAGTTCAAAGAATTATTAAATATCATTTGAAACCTTTAGGGAAAAAATTCTCTAGTTCAAAGAATTATTAAATATAATTTGAAACATTTAGAAAAAAATTTTTAGTTCAAAGATTTATTAAATATTATTTGGTATCTTTAGAAAAAAGTCTAGTTCAAAGAAATATAAAATAACATTTGGCTCCTTTAGAAACAATAAATATTTCAAGAATTATTAAATATCATTTGGCACCTTTAGAAACAATGTCTAAGTCAAAGAAATTGTAAATATCATTTGCGCCTTAATTAACAAAATTACTAGTTTGGTGCCTTAATTGAAAAAATTATCTAGTTCAAAGAATTATTAAAAATCATTTGGCACCTTTGGAAAAAATTTTCTTATTCAAAAAATTATTAAACATCATTTGGAACCTTTAGAAAAAATGCCTAATCCAAAGAATTATTAAATGTCTTTTGACACATTTAGAAAAATATTGCCTAGTACAAAGAATTATCAAATATCATTTGAAACCTGTAGAAAAATTGTCTAGTTCAAAGAATTATGAAATATCATCTGGCACTTTTAGAAAAAATTGTCTGAATTATAATATTTAGAAAAATTGTCTAGTTCAAAGAATTATGAAATATCATCTGGCACTTTTAGAAAAAATTGTCTTGGTCAAAGAATTATGAAATATCATCTGTCACTTTTAGAAAAAAATTGTCTTGGTCAAAGAATTATGAAATATCATCTGGCACTTTTAGAAAAAATTGTCTTGGTCAAAGAACTATAAAATATCAATAGGCATTTATAGAAAAAATTGTCTATTTCTACAGAAATCTGCACATACAGATAAATCTGCACATGTCTGTTGACGAACACTGACATTCTCCATACTCCTTGATTGTCCTATGTATTTCAGAGGGATCACTTACGTGACTCATACCGCATAACATTTCTTCGTATCACTTGAAGAAGATCTGCAGCAGTGATTTTCAAACTATGTGTCGCCTCAACTTGTTATATTAATTTGCGGTACAGAAATTTGTTTCTAGCCAACAGCATCTCGTTAGGCCATCAAAAGTAATATAAAGCATTTTGCTTAAATGTTTCAAATTTTCAACTTTGTTCCAAGTCTAGTATAAAAGAGTAGAAATGGACCAATCACTGTGATGTCATTTTTGACTTCTATGAAGCTCTATTGTTTAGTTAGTTGTCGTTAGGATTGAAAAGGACACCGATTTTGGAAACGTGATTTTTAAAACATCTGGTATTTTATTTTTAATGTGCTAAAATATATGTAATTTTCAGCTGTGGTAACAATGCAGTTTGTCGCCATTAATGGTCACTGAAAAATTAAAAATTTTAAAAACGTGAAATTACCGGTGAAGTATGTTTGTCGAAAATTCAAATTCTATTTCAAGATGTTGTATTTAATACAAAATACCGGATATATTATTTCATATTGCCTGCATTGTGCTTTGTGTATTATCATTATATGGTCGTTGCCAGTCTTAAGTCTTAAGATTACAGAAATTATTTTTTTTTTCGTTTACATGTTTTGATAAGATATAATACCGAAGTTATAATACACATCAAGCAGAGATCAGTAATTGTTTCCTTGGTTATTACAACAAAGCTTGAATACTGTCGTAAAGCAAAACTCTCAAAATGTACTTATCGCTAGATATTATTTCTTTACACCCTGACTGTGTATCATCTGGCAGTGGGCTTCGACATAGAATGTGTAGTCAATTAGGGCAAAATAAAATTACCATTCTGTATTATTTGAATATTTAATACTATTCTTTTTACAGTTATATTTACAAGTTAGACACATCTACAATAACACAAAAAACTGTACTTATTCGCATGTCGAAAATAAACCTGGAATCATTTCCTAAACTTGAAGGCTTCTGAAGATCGAACAGCGCAAACACAGACACAGGGGAACCTCATTTTCTTAACGCATCAAATTGAAAGAATTCTCTCATAAAACGCAGACGATTTTGTTTCGCATGTCACGCAACAAACCCCGAACTCAATTTTAAAAACTAAAATTTACCTTAGCGAACGAGATAGTCCCAAAGCCAGGAAAGCTTTCTTCTAATTTTCTAACACAAAATTCTGTAACCATAATAATTCTGTAACCATAATGACCACTTCCGTTGTTGCCAGGTTTACTCTCGCACATACGTAGAAAATACAAAAATACATTTTATATGAAAGAATTCAAAATAATTAAAGAAAACGAGTTGACTTTCTTACGAATTACAATGAAGTCGTTTCCACTTAAATCTAAACATTCTAATCGACGTGCTTTGGAGAGAGCTTTTTCTGGAACATTTTCAAATGCATTATTCGACAGTGACAACCAATGAAGACCAGGAGTGAACGTAAGGAGATCGTCGGGCAGCCTGACTAAGCCTGTTTCCTGGAGATCAAGTTTTTCAAGATGAGGAAGATATCTAAGAAACATTAAGATGATATATGACAAGAAAGGAACTTAAATATGACAGTACTTAAAATACTCTTCCGAAATAATTATAAAACTAAAGAATTTTTTTTTATCAGGAAGCAATTTTGTAAGATTCTCACTAGTGTATTTCTCACTTACTGTATAAAGTGACGAATCTTAAAAACTAGTTAGCGAATAATCGCTTAAGTTCGTGTAACAAGAAACAACAAGATGGAAGGGTAACTAACTCTTTATTATTCCAATAAGATTTAACAAAATTCCGTCTTGGAGGGTACAATCAAAGCCTACATTTGGGCTTGAACTTAAGAGACTAAAAATTAAACTAAAACTAAGATAAACTAAAGAGATATAGCCGAAGCTATCAAGATTCTAATCGAGTTGGCCCCTTAACTCTACTTGACCACGAAGCTTATCAAAGGCCTAAGTACGGCCGAACGTAATAACAGCTTTGAGACAGAGAGAGTAGCCAAAAGGCAGACGCGCGCAAATCAGAAACTGTGATTCTCTCTAACTCTGCAAGTAGACTTCACGGTTTAAATACCGCTCCTCCTCATTAAGTATTCAGAGTGATTCCAAAGCTACGTTCTGGCTGGAAGTAGTAAGTTGAAGTTAAGAATTTGACAGGAAAGGAACTTAAAATTTAACTGTTAATAAAATTTACATAATCCTTACAACTTAATTTCCTAATGGTTATTTTTTATTTTTGAAACCCTTTCCTTTATTCTCTTTTTTCCCACCTACATCTCCCTCCAGAATCAGTTTTCAGTATCGCTTTGTATGAAAATAAAATAGAACCAGTATTTAACGGGAAGTTTAGTTTACTTCCGCAGAATTCCCTAGTGCTTTTAATACTCAGTTTGATGTTGCGTTTTTGCAAATGGTCAAATTCTGAGAGACTACAAGCATCGACACCAAACAGTCTCCAGACTCTTCCCGGTTTTCAATTTACAAGCAAACCGCTTCAATCTGTCCTCTTCCCGTCAGACACTTATCTCTTATGGAGAATTTTTTTTCGTTCGCATCACAGGTCAGGTCCTCATGGAACTCTTTCAATACAGTAGGAACACTATCACCTGCTGGCAAGCCAGTATACCGACTAAGTATCAAAGTATCACTTCCGCAGAAGAGCTCAGAAGTTCTCAGTTCAGCGTGTTCTGCCTTCTGCGGAAATGATAGTTGCTTTAAGTCAGCCTTACTAGTTCTTCAGTATCAACGTATCACTTCAGAAGAGCTCAGAAGTTCTCAGTTGAGCGTGTTCTGCCTTCTACAGAAATGATAGTTGCTTTAAGTCAGCCTTACTAGTTCGGCAGTATCAAAGTATCACTTCCGCAGAAGACCTCAGAAGTTCTCAGTTGAGCTTATTCTGCCTTCTGCGGAAGTGATAATTGCTTTAAGCCAGCATTAACAGTTCGGCCGCATTATTGCATGGCTGTTAGTATTCGCCGGTGAGGTCTAAATAAGGGCCAAATCGGTTAGTTATTTATGTACAGCTTCGGCTACGTTTTAGTTAGAATTAGTTTAGTTCGTTATTTTCTATCTTAAGTTCAAGCCCAAGGGAAGGCTTATTTTAATCCCCAGAGGGGCCTACTGTAAACTATTTCTTGTGTTAAAATAAAAGTAAATCTTAACCCTTCTTTTACTTTGTTGTTGTAGTTTTCATAAGATCAGCGAATAGTTGCTACACTTGTCAAGTATTCTAGTTGCTAAGCATAATCAATTTAACTATAATTTTATAATACAAAAATGGCGTCAATATAAAAGTACAATAATTTTAGTCAGCCTGAAACAAAGACATATTATCCATATGCTATTAATTTTGTTCACAGAACATTATAGTATATATACAATATATTAAACTAAACAAACCCAAAGCAAATGGGAATAATTCATTGCAGAACCATTTCAAAGACTTATATACAGAAGGTCGTTCATAATTTATAAAATTGAATTTTCATTTAATATTTCTCGTTAAAGTTTTGAGATAAAAATTTGGTATTTTGAATATAGTCGTTTGTTACGATTTTTTTTTTGTTTTGATTGGAATATAGAATAAAATATTTATTTTTTAAAACTCCTAAAGTTCATAGATGGCTCGAAGGTCACTTGAATACATTTCCTCAACTATTCGCAGCAACAAATTGTAAAGCGGTGTAAAGTTTTTACATTTGGAAGGAAGGCATTTTTATCCTAAATCGGCGTTAATTCAGAAGTTTCGAAACGGCATTTTGCGTCGAATCACTAACAGCGTTGAATCATTTTCCAAACTGTTGCCACCAAATATTATCGCCCTGTACTATATTTAAAGTAATTAAATAATGAAGAATTTGCACGAATGTACGCATGATTCTCGCATTGTGAAAAAAACGACGGAACTTGGAGCCATCAAATTTTGAATAACATAGTCCTCCACCCGAATATAGGCACCTGGAAGCCCTAATTTTGAATTTTTTTATTACCTATTTCATATTCTGTAAAATTTTAACGAATTTGTATTAAAAGATTCAGCGATTTCAAAGCGAGCGGTGGCAACACTGTATTTGTATCTCCAGACAGAACCAGAGGATTTACTGGATTTCTCACTCCTTGACTTCACTTGTTTCTCTTCGTTAGATCAATTTTTTTCAGACAATTCAAATTATTCTCAACGAAGCGAAAATAGATTATGACAAATACTAACATAGGCCTGCTTCGAGCTCTGGAGAAAGTATGTGTGTGTTCCAATTGATTTATTTCGAAGATTATTTGGTTTGGTTTACGTGATTACTGCAAAGCCTCGAGGGCTATCTGCTTAAGGGGAGGGATGACTTCGTAGAGAACAATTTAAGGGGAACTGGCTTGTATACACTTACAATCCATGCAAAAATGCCCGCGCAGCCAGCCCGTTTGCGGGATGGGATTGGAGCTTCGGACCGAAGTATCAGTGTTCAGCTACTTTACCGCTGCTCTACGGATGGGCCATTTCAAGGATGATTAGGTAATATTACTTTAGATTTCAAGAAGAGCTATTATGCAGACATTTTCCACGAATATTCTGCGCATACGAGTTGAAACTCGTCACAGAAATGCAGTAGTAAACTCGAGAAAAATAACGTCAGACAAGGTAAATTCTGTGCAATTAAGTTTTTTTATTTATATGTATTAAAATAGGTTTTTTTTATTCCGGGTTTTTCATGTATGGATAGTAAAAGCACTTGCGCCACGTTACAAAACTCCAAGCCAGTAATTTAGAGAAAAGACACTACAAATACTTTAACCCTCTTTGTTGACTTCTATTAGCGAATCTCTGGGACCGTGACTTTTACTGCTTACACAAGTTTGTTTTCAAATTATAATTGACCAAAATTTTAAACTTATTTTGAAACATTTATAAAAATATAAATAAAACAGAAATTTTTTTAATAAACGAAATTTTCTGGCTACAGATGCAAAATGATACTATCTTCTTCTAAGCGTTATATATGGCTACCCCACTGTTAACCTTATTTCTATTTAAACCTGCAAAAGGATAACTCAGACAAACACAAGTAGGTATTTCTAAATGATAATATAATTGAAAAAATTACTGAAGTAAATCTTCCGGAAGTTCAAAAATGGGATTGTGATGTAGACGTAATTCTTGAAGTTTGGAAGTCGGTCGGAAACTTGAAGGAGAAATTCGTTGAATAGCGTTGTGTCCAACTTCTAGCGTCTTCAAATTGGACAATCCATCAAATAACCCAGGTTCTAAATCCGGCAGAAGATTGTTGGATATCCTCAATATAAGCAAAGATTTGAAAGGGACGAAAGTGAAATTGTCGATCTTCAAAATATGGTTAAAGGAGAGGTCTAGTTCCTCAGTGCTGTCCGCTTTAGAAAAAGTATTCGTGTCCAAGTGTTCGATGCGGTTATTTCGGAAACTTAGGCTTGTTATTGACCCATTAAGCTGGACAGAACTGGGAAGTTTAGATATGTCTTTGTTGATGCAGTCTAAAAACATAACACTCTGACCTGAAAGAAAAGGTAAAAACTATATCCTAAAAGCATACAAAAACTGACATGTAGAAATCTAATTTTTAATCTATTTTTAATAAATTAATATTTTGCAAAACAACTGAATTCCAACCCTTGATTGCGTTTCAGTCAAATAATTACTATGCACACTTATTTTATTTCTGTTAGTTAAATTTTTCCGCTTGCCTTGCTGAAAATGAATAGTGTTTAGACCCTAAAGAGTCCTAAGAGTTCTTTTTAATTTTGAAGAGCTTTCCTTTATTCTCTTGCTTCCCGCACATGATTCTCTACTAGAATGAGTTTTCAGGATCGCGTTTTATGTAAATGACGTAGAACCAGTATTTAAATTGAAGTCTCGATCGCTTCCACGAAATATATTATATCTTGACTCCAGGCCTGACGCATTTCTGTCCCTGCATCGCTACATGAAGCAACCAAGTGAAGATAGTCGGTATACAGCTTGCAGCTTTGGAAGCTATACGCGGCGGCAACAGCAATCGGACGGCTTCCATAGAAGAACTTAAAAGTTCAGCATGGTCTGCATTTTGGCCATGTCGTTGATTTAAGCCAAATCTTACTATTTTCGGCCGTATAGTTACATGCCTGTTAATATTCGTTGGTGAGCTTTAAGTAAGGGGCAAGTTATTTCGTTGGTGAGCTTTAAGAAAGGGGCAAGTGATTTTGTTGGTGAACTTTAAGAAAGGGGCAAGTGATTTCGTTGGTGAGCTTTAAGAAAGGGGCAAGTGATTTCGTTGGTGAGCTTTAAGGGCAAGTTATTTCGTTGGTGAGCTTTAAGTAAGGGGCAAGTTATTTCGTTGGTGAGCTTTAAGTAAGGGGCAAGTTATTTCGTTGGTGAGCTTTAAGTAAGGAACAAGTTATTTCGTTGGTGAGCTTTAAGTAAGGGGCAAGTGATTTCGTTGTGAGCTTTAAAGTGATTTCGTTGGTGGAGCTTTATTTCGTTTGGTGACTTTAAGAAGGGCAAGTGATTTGAGTTTAAGTAAGGACAAGTTCTTTCTGGTGAAGCTTTAAGAAAGGGGCAAGTGATTTCGGTTGGTGATCTTTAAGAAAGGGGCAAGATTTCGTGGTGAGCTTTAAGTAAAGGGGCAAGGATTTCGTTTGGAGCTTTAAGAAAGGGGCAAAGTTTTCGGTTGGTGAGCTTTAAGTAAGGGACAAGTTATTTCGTTGGTGAGCTTTTAAGGGGCAAGTGATTTCGTTGGTGAGCTTTTAAAAGGGGAAAATTTCGTGGTGAGCTTTAGAAAGGGGCAAGTGATTTCGTTGTGAGCTTTAAGAAAGGGCAAGTGTTTCGTTGGTGAGCTTTAAGTAAGGGGCAAGTGATTTCGTTGGTGAGCTTTAAGAAAGGAACAAGTTATTTCGTTGGTGAGCTTTAAGTAAGGGGCAAGTGATTTCGTTGGTGAGCTTTAAGTAAGGGGCAAGTTATTTCGTTGGTGAGCTTTAAGAAAGGGACAAGTTATTTTTGTGCAGCTTCGGCTAGTTTTTAGTTAGTTAGCGTTAGATTAGTTTTTTACTTTTTATCTTAATGTAAAGCCCAAGTGGAGACTGTAAATATTCTTTAGTAAAATAAAAGGATAATTTACCCCTTCTTTGGATTTATCCTTACGGCCTTAGAAGTAAGCAATTAGTCGCTACACACTTTCTAGTTGCCAAGAACAAGCAATTTAGTTAGAACTTTATAGCTTCCTAATTACATAATTTACTTTTATTTATATTACTTAAATTTATTTTACCATAATATATATTACTTATTATATATATTTAAAATTATTTTACTACGTTACATGTGTTTTACTAAGCTACTTAATGTGAGACATTATTTCTGCTGAAATCCAAAAGCTGTACTAGAGAAAAACAAATTTTAGAATCGTAAAATAGCACTTATTTTTTTTTTTAGTTTTGAAACAATGTTTAGTGATTATTATTATTAGCGGTTTACGTTAGTATTTAATACTGTTGTAATTTTTTGAAGTATTTAAATTCTTTTTAATTATATTGTTATTTTTGCCGTTTTAATATTGCGTATTGTTTTATATGTATTGCTTTTAGGTCGTAATTTTAAGGCTTGTTTTGCGTGTAATTCTGAAACTGCGGTCACATATTTTGTATGCAAGTGTTTATTCCAGGTACAGAATTATAGATGTTTCAATTCTGAGTTTAATAATGTATTTTTTCCAATGCCGAGCACTAGCCGTTAAAGGCGTTGGCCACTAGTAAGGCCGAAAAGGATGGCCACTTTATTATGGAGGCACATAACAGGTGGGCCATTGTTGCCTCCCATGAAAGGAGGGACAAGCTACATCCATGGCCTTTTCCGGATTGGAACCCGGGCCGTTGAGCACGGCAGTCAGAGACACTAACCACTTTCCCACCAGGATGTCGAGAGTTCAACAATATTTAAGTTCTAAAAATAGCTCAACTAGAACATGAGATACGCGCAACGACTCTCTATACGGATTTTGGGGGAAAATGTTGTTGCCACGTTGGCGATATTTGACGATTTCTTCCAATTCGCTAAGTTTCTGGAAGATTCGAAAAACAGATTTTTGATTTTCATCGTGTTTCATCGTGTTCATTTTGAAGATTCGAAAAACAGATTTTTCGCAAAGCTTCCATGTTATTTTACAAAACTGGTGCTACATTAATAAATGCGGCTCTGGGAGCCAGAACAAGTCTGTCCTTAAGTTATCGGCTCAGAGGAAGTTAGCTGAATAGCGTTTTATAATTTGTTCTGTGAATAATTTTGGGAATTAAAGACATATCTTGTAAGCTTTCTCAATTTATTTTGCTATGTGTTATTCTTATTTTTATTATTAAAAATATTGTTGCCTGTTGCGGGTTCGTCAAATCACATTCGTATTGCAAAGCGCATCTAATCTCTGTACTCCGGACTCAAGCTGAGCTAACAACTGGCAACAACAACTGAGAGCAAATGCTCTCTCCGGCCTTGGATAGTTTTCACCCGGCCGCAAGATATTGCTAGTACCTTCTGCTTCTCGCAATTACTGGAAAGGATATGAGGGCCGAATACAGTTAGAGTTACCCAAAACATCAATCGCAGTTGTTCAGTTATGAATATCCACTACAGTTATACTGGGACCAAACAAAAATTTCGCCAAATGATTGGCTTTTGGCGACTTTTGAGGATTTTTCGCATTATTTGGCGACAAAAATTAGTCGCCAAAAATCGTTGCTAGCTTGGCGATATCTCGCCAATTTAGCGAGATAGCCATTTGCTCAATGTTAAATACACTTGCTTCTGTATACAGTAAGACCCCGCTTAACGCCGGGGATACGTTCCATCAAAGTAGAGCGTAATGCGAAACAGCGCTAAACGAGGCTATCTTTACATGTAAATATTGGGGTTAGGGGAAGATGGCTAGGAAATTGGTTAGGTATTAAATTTAAAAAGTATGTTTTTTTTAATAAAAATAAAACCAAACATTTATTTCTTAAAGCCCAAATTAATACCACATTATTATTTCTTGCAAAAATAAAAACAAAATATAAATAACAAAACGAATATTCTTAAAAAAAAAAAAAAAAAAAAAAAAAACAAATAAAATTCTCAGTCAGTCATATTTAGTTAGCCTTCCGCGTTTTCAGTGTTCTGCCTTTTTGTGACAAAAGCATCTAATGTTGTTTGCCTTTTTCTTTTGCGTTGTTCTCTTAAAAGTTCTTCATAAACGGATAGAGCATCTCTAACACCACGCCTTACTTTTGAGCTCCTGTCAAAATTCGGATCATTTTCAATGAATTGATCCATTATTTCAGTTATGGTAGACAAACTCCTTTTTACAAACGCCATCGAAAGTTCTTTTTGCTCTTCTTCTGAATCACTGCTGTCAACATTTTTGTTTTCTTCTTGTTCAGTTAATTCCTTGAGCTCATCATTAGAAAGACTAGCCGCTGCTGCTTCTTGAATTATTTCTTCGACATCTTCCACATTTACCCCTTCAAAATATGTCTGTACAATACCGCACCAAACAAGAAATACAAGTACACTCTTTCGGATATGTATTTGAAACCTATCGCTGCATAATATTTCGGGGAATCCCCGTATGCTGCGAGCGATTTCGTGGAATCCCCGGGTTGAAATAAAAGAGCGCTAAACCGAAACAGCGCTAAACGAAACAGCGTTAAGCGGGGTCTTACTGTACTACAATCGGCGGAGAAGCCGACCAGAGGGCTGCTTTTGAATTAAGGTTTTTGTTAGCACCTACTTCATTGAACAAATAGTACTAAAGTGAGCACAATTGGTCACATTGTTTGATTTTTGCTTAGAAAAATATGTCATAGGTAGCGATAGCTCCATTACACATTATTAATGATAATCGTAATGATAACGATAGTTTTTACAAATTTCGCAACACAGTGTTCTAAAGCAAGTCTCTTTCTTTCAAGTGCTAAAAATTGTTTCACAAAATACACACCAACGTGAACTGTTTGCGGAGACGATATTTGCGGTGGCGAGAAACTTCCGTTAAATCCCGTTATATCATAAGTCGAGCTTTCGACACAAGGAAAATGCAAATTAAATTTCGTCAATTGTCCTAGTAGAACGGGATATATAGAAGTGTCTCTCTCTCTCTTTTTTTTTTTTTTTTTTGGTGCTTAGTGTATAGCGGTTAGTGCATCGTCGAGAGAGGTGTACACAAAATACCCAAATCGTTAAAACACTGAAAATCTATCCGTCTCGGTGAGATATTTACATTTATGTTCTTAGAAAGAGGGATCTTTTTCAAAGGCAATCGTTTTAAAGAGGTTGTCGTCGTTAAGACATTCGTTTCCATTTAGAGTTACACTTCGCAGTGCTTTGTACATTTAAATTTCACTGCAATAGCATTTGTTTAAATACTCTTTCGTGTTGCATTAAAAACATTGCAAACTTATAAGTATGCCAAAAGCACTGTAACTCAAAAGTGTTTTTGAAAGATTTATGTTGCATTTCCAAGAGTGTTGCTCATTATGTCGTAGAGACATTAGGATCTTTTTTGGGAAGCAAGCACGATGAAAAATTAGCAACCGTCTTCGCCGGGAATCGAAACACGAACCTCTAAAATACCGGCTCAGTGTGCTGGACCACTACACCACGAAGGCACGCTAGGAATGCGGGAGAAATACCTTATAATGTTTATAAATATTGTTGCGAAATGCACAGCTGCGGTAAGATAGCTTCCCCACAAAGCTGGTTTAGGGTTGCCAAAAAGTGGCAAGGAGTGGCAGGGTTGCCCCGTGGGTGCGAAATTGCCCATTTCGCGACAAAACTAACAATATGCCATAGACGGAGCGAGAACATTCTAGAACGAATCCTTACCTGTGTATCCGAGAATGTTCTCGAAGGCAGGTCAAAAGCTATAAATACCCTGGCTGCACGCGTAGTAGTAGTTTATCGCTAAGAGTATCTTGAGTGTGTTGAGTTCAGTAGTACTGCTTTGAATTCAGAGATTAGCTTGAGAGCGATCGACGGAATCGGTAATTATACTTTAATGCTTTGCCGTGAAGCTGTCTTCACCGTTACAGCGTGATAGCCTGAAGGCTGTGTTGACGATTGTTTCAACATAGTTTTTCCACGACTGTAAACGTGTCTTTGGAACTCTTCTGTGTAATACTGACGAATAAATTGTGTTTTGATTCTTCATCAAGTGTTGTCAACAATCATTCCAAATCCATGAACCAGTAGAACGCAATAATATTAACAATATAAACGCTAAATTATTTAAGAATGAAATTTGAAAGTTTCACGAAACAGAAGTGTCGAAAAAATACATTTAATTATATTTTGGACAACTCAAAATTTGAATTTGAGTTTTTAAAAATATTCATTTTTTTATTAAATTCTTTTTTATTAAAATTACAACTTCAGTGTACTTAAAAAAAGAAATTCCTTTGAATTCAAAGTAAGAAGTAAATGTGTTTTCCCGTCTTATTGTAACATATAATACTAAATCAAAAGTAATACATAGAGTTTAAAATCATTGTTTTAAATATAGAATAGAAAAATAAACAAATTATTAACAACTTACCTTCTGATGGGCATTTACAACCGATGTCGCAAAGAGATTCTTTTGGCTTTCCAGAAAAGTCCATTTGCAAACAGAAAACCATTTTGATAGACATCCATATTAAAATTAAAAACTTGATTTCTTTCTGCAAAACCAAAACGTTCTAATTAACATTTTTTGAGTGTAACTTTTAGAATTGTAGTAATGTATAAAACAACTGCTTCCTGTTAAAAACTGAAAATCATAAATTAAAACTACAGTTCCTATGAAATTCATTCTTTAATTATGATTGTTCCTCAGATATTAATATCAGTTCAACAAAAATTAAATTTAGTTGTAAATTTGATTCGTGAAATAAATAGAAAAATAATAATGAACTGAAGCGAAAAAAACTATTTTCAAAAATAATTTCCGAGCAAGAGAAGATTGTTATTCAGCATTTTTACTTGTTGTTTTTACTTGAAGATTTTTATTTGAAGATTGTTATTCAGCATCTTTACTTACCTTAATAATTTAATTTTTTACAATCTATGGACTCCTCTAACCACGGGAAAAATATCCTTTAGGGATGTATCAACTAAACGACCAGACAAAGATATTCTAGATCAGAGGCTAAAATATTTGACTAATGAAAGCAGCAGAGAAATTTTGAAGAAGGTTACTGAACTAGCTGTTGAAGTCAAAAATGCTAATTCATTTAAACAGACAAGATCAGAGTAAAATTGGAGCCAGTTCAGTTCTTTGAACAGCTTAACAATGATAACTTTACCGAATAAAGCAAACAGAGGCTAGAGAAACAGCGCCTCGAACTGTTGATCAGCACAACTTGAGTTCGAATACAGCTGGAAGCGCAGTTTTAAAAGTTTTTGTATAAACGTTTTACACTTCTGCTGTGGACATTTACGTTTAAAACCATTCGTCACAATTTTCTGAGGACCTTTTAATATTTTATTTTCCTGATGAACTTTCCAGAGGACTATTTTAAGTATTTATTTACGGTGATTACTGTGAATGATTTTTTTTAACTGTATCTTTCCCCTTTACGTGATGCGTTTTAGCACTTAACTCCTTTAACAGAGAACTGGTCGATATGATACGATGGGATGAGGGGGAAAATAGCTTCATGCTAGGTGCCTCTGTTTGTGATTTCAGATTTCAGGTATCGGACTGTGATTGTTGCCATAAAATGACAAGGGAAGGCAGAGTTGCCACATTTGGCTAGAAAGCGCCGTTTGCCGACAAAATTGGCGATATGCCATGGACGGATAGAGAACCTTCTGGAACGAATTCTTACAGATTTAGGCCAGAATGTTCCAGAACACAAGCCGAAAACTATATAAGCCCTGCTGGTACGCGGAGAGTCAGTGCGAGATAGTCAGTTCCTGCGAAGGATCGAGTTGACAGCCGGGCTGGGAGTGCCGAGTGGGTCGTCGAGTGCACCGAAGGAGTCTTAGTGTATAGCGTAGGCATCGTCGAGAGAGTGTGTTGAACTCCGGAAAGACGAACAAAGAGTCGGGCTGTCCTGTGTCTCGTCGAGGCATCTCGAGCTGTTGCGTGGAGAGTCTCGAGAGTACTTGGAGTATGAGAACGACCAAGCAAAGTTAGAGCTATACTCTGCTTTGCAATGAGCTCCCACCGTTATAGCCTGATAGTGTGAAGGCTGCTCGCTGATTGTGTCAGGTAGTATAGTAGTTCTTCGAAATGAAAACGTGATTTGGAGCTCCTTGTGGGATTTCCTTTGTATTTCTCAGTTACTGAGAAAGGAAGAATTATACTGCTAAGCGAATAATCGCTTAAGTTCGTGTGACAAGAAATTCAATATGAAGGTAACTAACCCTTAATTCAAAAGATTTAAAAATTTCGTCTTGGGGACAGAAAAACACTTGAGCTGAACTTAAGAGACTAAGAATAAACTAAAGCAATTTTAAACTAAAAAAAAAAGAGATATAGCGAAGCTACAAGATTAAACCGAGTTGGCCCCTAGTCTATTTGACTACCAGGGCTCAGTACGGCCGACGATAACAGCTTGAGATAGAGTAGCCAAAAGCCAGATGCACGCAAATCAGAAACTCTGATTTTCTGTAACTGAGTAAGTAGAACTTCGCTGTTTAAATACCGCTCTTTCTCATTATGTATTCAGAGTGATTCTAAAACTACGTTCTGACCGGAAGTAGTAAGTTGAAGTTAAGAATTGGGCGGGAAAGGAACTTTAACTTACAATTTAACTGTTAGTAAAATTAACATAATCCTTACATCCTGATTAATATTGGCTAAATATAGTGTGTTTGGACATTCCATCAAGTGTGGTCGTCGTTATCCACTCCAAATCCACACGAACCCCCGTACGAACGTAACAACTGTCACAGTAACAACGTAACCCCGTACTAACGTCAGAAAATAACTTAACAATATGTAATATATGTCAGTTCCGTAATCTTAGAACCTAATTGTTATTTGGTTTTCTTTGAAGAACTGTTTTTTTTTTTTTTTTTTTTTTTTTTTCAATAACTTGGTTTTCTTTCAAGTATGAATAAAACAAATTATAGTGAGAATTAAAACTTAAATAAATGTTAAGACAATTTTGGTTAAAATAATTCAAAGAGAATTTACCTAAAGATAATGCAAGAGATTTTAATCCTGACACTACTGCCAGTGTCAGGAAAGTCGGAAAAACAAAAAATCAGTGTTGTTGAGAATGCAAGTGGAAATTCAATAGAAGACGAAAATGAATGGCAAAATATAAAAGAAAGGCGAGGAAATTCCGCAAAGACATCAATTTTAGAGTATGGCCACGAGCAAACTGACCACAAATTCCGTCAAGTATTCTAGAACCCGTAAAAATTTTCACAGATGTTCATACAAGAGTAAGTTATAGAATACGTATCACATTTTTTATTACAACAAAACATATTCACAAAATAAATAATTATAAATACTTTTGCAAGCATTTTTTTCTATTTAAGGTAAAACTTTCTGGTCTGTTCCTCTTCTCTTCGAAAATGGGCCAGAGTTGCAGCCTAGGCGCTTGGCCTAAACGACATCTAGCTTGAATCAAGTGTCGCCGCCATGTTGGATCTACTCAGATGTGCACAGACGTGTTTTGTATGATTTCATACACGATAGTTTTCCTTTTCTTGTAACAACGCGAACATGTTTTCTTTCTTTTTCCCTATATTTCTTTTTTTGTGGCAACGACCTGTTGAACCAGGTATTTGAGATACCATCTTTTCATTATTTTTGTTCTTTATTTTATTAATTTTTCTTTAATTATTTAATATGTCCTTATTTTTAATTATATAATCTGTAATTATTTTTAACTGAGCAACTCATTATTTAATATTTATTCATTTTCATTGCATTTCATTATTTATAACAATGCCTTTTCACTGAATTTTAAAAAGCTGGGATTCGCACCCACATCTTCTCGCACGGGAGACGCACACTTAATTGGGAAGCCTGGCGCATGTCTCTTCAAATCTTTTTTTGGATTGTGCGTCATATAAAAGAACAACTATGACATCTCTTGTCTAGAAGACTGCGCATGCGCAAGGCCTGTTTCAAGGTGCCCAAATCTTTTCATGCCTTTGTGCATCCGCGACGGTGAACAAACACATTATTAAGGACCAATGACTGTCTCGCTAACAATATGCTTTCTATTTCAGCCAATCAGCGTCTTTGTTTCTTGAAGTGGACACAGATTTATTTTGGCTTTCTAACTAATTACTTTATAAACTTATTCTTTGCTTTTTAAAATGTAAGATTTTTCCCTAAAATGATTTCACTAAAAATACAATAAAGACTTTTTATGCGTTAGTAAAATTCGATCTGAAATTACACAGATAGAAGAAAACGTGAAACAAACGAGTATTTGAAAGAGTTTTTTTAAATACTCGCTTCATATGTAATAAAATAAGTTCAAATGTAACCCTGAAAAGTGAGCAGTGCTCTTGCTGGGATTTGAACGCCACGTCTGCCGAATGCGCGTTGAATATGCTTCCAGTTACGCCAGGAAGGCATGCGGAAAGGAGAGGGAAAATACCTTATATACTCCCCCTTTTAAATGGCGACTGGGGATAAGAGTACCAAATCGCCGCATTCTGGTCGCGACGTATTATCGTCTACCACCTTCTAGTTCGGGCACAAGAGTCCTTAGAATGTTTTATGTTGGAGACGTAAAAAACTGAGCAATGCTCTTGCCGGGATTCGAACTCCGAATATGCGTGGAATGTGCTTCGAGTTATACCACGAAGGCATGCGGAAAGGAGAGAGAAAACATCTCAAAAACAATTATTCTTATTCTCGTAGTATTTTAAATTAAAGCAAAGTTGATTGTTCCTTATGAAGGTACTGATATTTTCTTAGACATGTTGTAGGGTTTTCCTTAGTTCACTAACCAGTTATTTTAATTTTGGTACCTTTTCTGAATTCTCTATTTCTCCTCACATTTCCTCGCCGGGATGCAAATGAAGTAGGTGAACGACAGTATTTAAACAATGAAACGAGGAAGTTAGACAGAGCATGATTTCGCTAGTGTAGTGCACGTTTGCTATTTTGTCCTCCAGTTGTTAATCTTAGCAGCTGCTTCGCATTCTTACCGTTTAATTAGTCTACCGCCGGTGTAGGTTGCTGAGTCAGCCTGTTAGAATAAATTAAATCGTGTAGTCTACCGCTGCTTCTTAACTTTTGGATTTATTATTATATTATCATTAAGTTCTCAACGCAAGTAGTCGCTGCTTTTGAAGGCACGAAGTCCGTTCCTTTCTTTCAAAGAGTTCTGATAAATAAAAAGGGCTTTGTACACCCTTCCTCTGTTGCATTCATTTTCACACTTGTGCGAGAATTCGCAAAGTTTAACTTTTAGATCTAGACACATTGCATGATAGCAATGAAAGTTAGATCTTATGATGTTTCTTATGAAATTAGTGTAAAATTTTCTTAAGTAAAGTCTATGGCAATGCGAGTCAATGATCGTAATAACTCAGAGAAAAATTTCCTTTCAAGCTGCATTTTGCGCATACGTAAAAAACTATTACGTTAACCAGTGTAACAATTTAGTAATTTTTCCCCCCTATTTTGGAAATAATATTCCCCTATTTAGTAATTTTCCCCCTATTTTATTCCCTTTTTTTTGGAAGGCATTGTTAA